TATAATAATGCTGTGTATGACGTGTACAAAAACACGGGTGCGCATATACACAGCAAAATGTGGTCGTTTTAGCCACAGAGCTGACAAGCTCTCCCAGAGAGAGGGGTCAAGAGTGACCAGAAAAGACAGCCTAGAGCAGAGTCCCCGAGGGCCCAGGGAAGAGCCAGCCAGAGAAGGAAGAGAAATGCCATACGCACGTTCTGTCAAGGAAGCTAGGGATGCGGCTTCCACAAGAAGGGGGCGTTCAAGAGTGTCAGGTTCAGCCCTGGCTGGTGTGGCTCAGTGGATTGAGTACTGGCCTGTGAACCCAAGGGTCACCAGTTCGATTCCCAGTCAGGGCACATGCTTGGGTTGTGGGGCCAGGTCCCCAGTAGGGGGTGCATAAGAGGCAACTGCACATTAATGTTCCTCTCCCTCTGGCTTACTCTCCCTTCCTCTCTTGGTAAAAATAAATATATTTTTTAAAAAGACTGTCAGGTCCTGCTGGGTTCTGTCTGCAGGTCTCTGGTGGCCTTGACAGTGAAGGTGAAGGAAAACTTAGGGTGGCGCTGAGGTGATGGCGAGAGCGGGCACCATCCCACAGGGGCAGCCTTCCTCCCTCTTTTTCACACTGCAGCCACAGTGCGGTCGCTTGTCGCTTCCACAAGGACTTCACTTATGAAGCACCTAGTGGGCTGGGGCACTTTGTTCAGAGCTGGTGGGGGAGACAAGTCCCTGACGCAGGAGGCAAGCAAGGAGACAGACACTCTCATTCATATCCCAGAGCCGCGTGATGTCATGGCGGGAGCGTTCTCATGGAGATGCACGCCGGGGGCTCGGAAAGAGGCGGGATCAGCTGTGCTGGGGAGAGGGCAGGGGCGGGCAGGAAAGGCCCCGGAGAGCAGGGAAGAGGAGCGAGGTTTGCTCTGCGGTGGTCGTCAACGGTCGTCCTCGGGTGTCCACTGCACAGGTCGGGTCTCAGCCTGCAGGAGAAGTACAGCACCTCCCTCATCTCCCGGTGGTTCGGTGGGAGCACGGCACTGACTGGGCGGTGCACAGCGGTGAGCACCTCGCTTCAGGCCAGGGGACTCACACGCCGCCGGTGCGGGTCTCTCCCCCCTCTGGCGGGGGGAGCAGCAGTGTTGGAGCAGCATCTGCCCTCCACACACACTTCTCCGGACAGACGAGCGTAGGGGAGGAAACACTATTTTCCCTCCACCCACCTTGGGTTCATCGTCTGGGTCCTGTGAGTCAGACCAACAAAAGACAGGCTAACAAGAGAAGTTTATTAACGTGTGCGCCGTGCACACACCTGGGGGCGCCCAGTGATGAGCAGCTCACAGAGCTGGTGAGACCAGGGGCTTACACAGCGTCTTAGCAAAAGAACAATACGTTGTCTAGAGAACTGCCGACAAAAGAAAAAGGCTGAACTTCTAGGGCAAACTGCGGGAAGGCAAATCTATGGGGAAACTTGGTAGATAAGGAGCAGTTTGAACAGGGTTTATTAGATTCCTCGGGTGCTGCCTCTGGGCTGATAAGGACCTGGGGTTGTCACCAGTGATTGACTTACTGTCCTTGGTGGGGAGAAAAGGGGGGACATCTCTACAAATTCCTGTCCTGCTTCTAGGCAATGGGGGAAGGGCAGAGAGCTTTTCTTGAAGGTGTTTCTACTCATTTGCCTTCCACTCAAAACCACCCCCACACCGAAGTGGCTTGTGTGGCTGCCCTGAAGCAGATGTCCGTGTTTCTTTTTGTTGTTGTTGTTGTTGTTTTAAAAGATTTTATTTATTTATTTTTTTAGAGAGGGAAGGGAGGGAGAAAGAGAGAGGGAAACATCAATGTGTGGTTGCTAGGGGCCATGGCCTGCAACCCAGGCATGTGCCCTGACTGGGAATTGAACCTGCGACACTTTGGTTCGCAGCCTGAGCTCAATCCACTGAGCTACGCCAGCCAAGGCTTAGATGTCCGTGGTTTTACTGTCACTTTGGCATAACCTAGCCCAGCACGGGCCCTGGACCAGTGGCATCAGCTTCACCTGGGGATGTGTTAGAAATACAGATTCTCAGGCCCCACCCTGGGCTGGGGCTTGGCCCTCTGAGCTTTAACGAGCCCCGCCAGGGGATTATGATGCACCCTCGAGTTCAAGAACGGCTGCCCCGGCTGGTGCTGCCTGATCCAGGTATCTGGAAGGCAGAGCAGGGGAAATCAGAATTCATGGAGAAGGTCATTCCAGCAAACTTGGAAACAGTAAGAAGGCGAACTAAATGGTGAGGTTCTGCATGTCATAGAAAATATTAAATAACATATATCATTGTACCCATCCTGGAAGCCTGGGTACAGAGACTTCCTCCCCAGATGGGGAGCACTGTCTGACTGTGTGAACAGTCTCCTCCTCTGTCCCGTTAGGAGAAAATTCGGTCGCAGGAGGGATACTCCAAACCCGGCGCCCCTGAAGCCAGCCCTGGGGCCCGAGAGAAACCTAGGGCTGCACTTTCCACTTGCCCCAATGGCCTTGCTGACTTAGAAAATGCTCGTGAAGGCTTCGAGTCTGAAAAGCACACAAAACCCGATTCTTCTGTCTGCGGGGCGAGTCACTGGAGCTTCGGCAGAGGCTACTTGGTAACGGGCACTGTTTAAATGAAGCAAAAAGTACAATGCCAAACAGATTGCTTTTTAAACTGTCAAATAAAAGGCATCCTTTGGTGCCTGTGAAATTATCCCAAGGATTCTAGGAGCCAAAAGCAGGTGACAGGTGTTGGAGCGAAGGAGTGTTTTATTAAAGGGCTAGCTACTGCTTAAAGACTCACGTGCTGACCCCTTCGGCCTGGTTCGGACTCAGACATTTCCATTTCCAGCGGCCCCAGGTGAACTCCACACAAAAGGTCTTGAGACCATTCTAAATCCTAACAACCAGATGCCATTCCGTTCATTGGGGTTGCTTTCATCCGTGTGACCCTAGCACTGGCTTTTGGACAAGCTGACAACATTTCACCACTTTAACTTTGCCCCTGGCCTTCAACGCCATGGCAAGAGCCCTTGGCTAGCTTTCACGTGACTGCCCCCATGCCTTCTATTAGCCATCGATAAATGCATCCTTGTGCAGCCGCGTTGACGCGAAGAATATTCCGCAGAAGCGTGGAAAGCGTCTCTTCTGTCAAGAGCAGGCTGACTTGGGACACAGGTCACCAACGTGGAGCGGGAGCCTCAGCGGTGGGCCGTCTCTGCAGACAGCACGGAGCCCTGGGCCCTCCTCTGCAAGGCCGACAACGCCAGCCTTTTCCATGTCATTTCCTCCAGGGCTTTCCACTGCAATTAGTCTCGAGTTCATGCCTTCAGTATCCTTGTGGGCACGGGAACAAGGATGCTGAAAATAACTAGTGAAACTTCCCCTTCCCCTGGCCCTTCAGGTCCCCCTCGTACCTGTGCCACTATGCCAAGGCTAACACAAGCAAAGTGACCCCGGCTCACTGAGACAGACCTGCAAGGGGCGTACTTCCTAGCATGTGAATGTGCACACTCATCTCCAGGGGGGCGTGTTAAAAATGTACATTGTGACTCAGTCGGCTGGAACCTGAGAGCCCGAATTCTTTGCAAGCTCCTGCTGCCGTGGCCCACGTTGCAGGCGGTGAGGGGATAATGCACACTCTGCAAAAGCGTGGCTTTTAGAACAGATGCCGCTCAACAGGCGTGGATCTGAGGGTCTGGCTCCACTTCTACTCAGGGTTCCTTGAAAGTGTGTGTGGGGGGGACTGGATCTTACCCATTTTTTTTTCTTTGCTTGTTTTGTGTTGTTCTCTGGCTGGCACTTGGCATAGGTCCCGCACGCGGTGGGTGTGTATTTATTTAATTAAACAGAACTGGCTTTGTTCCCAACGGAGTTTTCGGTGGACCTGACCCCCAGCAGGCCCTCCCGAGCCAGCTGCGGGATGACCTGGCGGGGGAAGGAAGTCAGTGCTGGGATCTGAATCAAATCCTCCGGGCTGAGGCCCTTCTGCCAAGGTCCCCACCACCTGCTAGTACCTGGATTACCTCTCAGCTGCTGCTCTTCTGAAATTCTCCCTCCTGCCCCATTTTTAAAGCAGTTTCCGCGAGAGAGCCGATCAGAGAGGAGGGAAGCAAAACAAAGCGAAAACCAGAAAGCCTTGCGAAGCGGCAGAGCTCCGGAACATCAAAAGCTCCACTCGCAGCGGCGGGGCCGCGGAACTCTCGGGTTTCTCTCTCTCCCGCGTCTCCACCGTCTGCAGGCCGGCCTCGCACCCCCTCCGCCGGCTCCCCCGCCCGCTCGGCCCGGAGAGCCCTGCAGGAGCCGGTCCCGGCGGGCACCCGAGCTCCTGGGCTTGCTGCGAGCCTGTTTGCTCTGCTCGAGCAATTCATCTTCTCGTGCATTACCCCCGGAACGGGGTTGGGTCGCCTGTGGGGGGGGGGGGGTGGACGTGGGGAGCCTGAACAAGAGCTACCGCTCTACAATAACCCTGTTCCCAGAGTCTCCGAGGAGCCATAACCTGTTCCTCTCTGCAGCAGCCCGGGAGGGCTGGGTTGGGCTCCACAGGGGAGGAGAGAGGGAAAAAGAGGAGGGCGATTATACTGGGCAGTAGTGGAGCCAGCCGGGGGTGGGAGGCGCGCACGGGCGAGTGCGTCTTAGAGGAGGAGTACACGTGCGGCTCGGACGGTGAGAGGCGGGTGGGAGGGCGGGAGGAGGAGAAGGGAGGCGTGAGCTGCAGGCGGGAGGCGCCACGGCCTCGCTAGACGCAGGCACCAGCAGCCAGAGAGAAAGTTCCCGTGGAGAGCTTGCCCCTGGGAGGGCCGACGGCGAGGCTGTCGTGGCGAGGGTCGCAGGCTCAGTGCGCCCAGCCTGCCTTACCCCTGCGCGCACTGGGGCCGCCCGGGCTCCGCTCGTCGCGAAGCAAGGGAGCGTCGCTGGCGGGCTGCCGCCGCCAAACTTGGAGGAGGAGGATGCTGCGAGTGGGAGCGGCGGCGCGGGGCGCGGGGGCGCACTGAGTGCTCCCCGCGGGCGGCCCCGGGCAAGGCAGCCAGGGCTGCGGCCGCACGAGCCCGCCGAGCCTGAGCGACCAGGTAGCGGTTCCAGCGCCAGGACTGCGCCAGATCTGCAAGCCAGGGACGCCAGCGCCACCGTGCCGGCGTCGCCTCCTCGCCACGGAGAGCCGTGGTGTGCGGTGCGCGCACGCTAGGAGCGGGACTCTGAGCCACGGCCACGCCGCGCGCCCACACTTCCCCTCTCCGCGCTTCTCCGCTGACCTTCCCGGTGGGCCATGAAGCTTTGGTCCGGAGACTCTGGCCTCTGAGCGGCGCGCCGCCTGCTCCAGCCTCAGCGCCGCTCACCCAAAGACAGCACTCGGCCTCTGAAGCCCCCCATCTTCACCCAGGGAGGGCACCCAGGCGCTCCGGGATGGCGCTCCCAGGCCCCCTCCGGCCGCACAAACTTCGCGGGAGGCGAGAGATGCTGCCGCAGCAAGTTGGCTTCGTGTGTGCGGTGCTGGCTCTGGTGTGCTGTGCAACCAGCCTCTTCGGCAGCTTGGGTAGGTGCGGGGCCGGCCGCCCCGGGAGTTGGGGGCAGGTGGGGGTGGGGGGGTTGGGGCTGAGAAGCCGCGGGACAGCTCCAAGATGTCTCCCCTTTCTTCCCCGCCAGGTTGGCCCCAAGGGTTAGGCGGGCAGGTGGAGCACACCCGGGAGGGCCGGTGTCGGCGCTCCGAGCTGTGGCGCGAGTTCCCCTGAGGCGCGCGCGGCCCCTGGGGTCTCAGGACGCGGCTGTAGGGCTCTGTTACTAAGACAAAAACCAGAACCTCTGGCCCCTCGGTGCCACAGTGGAATCTCTGGAGCGTGCCGGGGAGGGGCAGCGCGGCGGGGGGCCCAGATATGTATTCTCTTGACGTGGGGCGGATGAAACCGAATGGTACGCTTTCCTGTTCGGAGCGGAGAGCGCCGTGCGCCGCGCCCCTCCAAAACCTGTATTCAGAGGCTGCGAATTTCGTCTCCGCCCTCCTCTCGCCCCGACCCCTGTCCAAAGGCGCCCTGCCCTGGGTGTCGTGATGCGTCCTCGTCAAACACTGGAAACGTTGGGGCGGTCTGTCCTCCCGGGAAGGTTGCTGCTTTGTCTCAGCATCCTGCTCTCAACTCCTCCGAATCCCGAATCCCGAGGGCAGGAGAGCACCGGCGTCTGGGGCACGAGCCACACTCCTTCACCGGAGAGGAGCCCCAGGGGTTTGAAAATGGCCCAGGATATGCAAATCTGAGGTGGAGAGAAGGAGAAACTTAAAAAAAAAATGTGTAGCTGGGGGGCGGGGGGCTGTGAGCCCATGTGGGATCTTCGGAAGCTGTTCACTTGGCTAACACTGCCATTTTTAATGGCACGCTGTGGGCCCTTTGCTTTTGTTTTCCGCACTTAAAAAAAAAAAAAAAGGAAAGTAATGCCGCAGAGTTAGCGCCTTGGGCAGGGAGATGAAGCGGCAGCACCTTCCCGAGCAGGTAGAAGGGACAGTTCAGAGTGGTTTGTGAGTGAGAACTAGGTAAAAATTAGAGGGAATGCGATTACACTTTTAAAACACTGCCTTTCAAAACCCGAACTTGGTGACCGAGGGTGTAAGGTTAAGAACAGCGGCTGTTTCCAACAGAACACCGTAATGGTTACGTGAACGTCTTAATACCTGGTGTTTTGCAGTTGGGCGAGTGGCTGTTTTTTTTTTTCCCCCTCAATTACACACCAGAAATAACAAAACACCTAGAGGCTCTTAGATGTCAGCATTATAGGAGAAGTATTATTACCCAGCTGAAGCAGCTTACGCATCAGGAGAGGTAAATGAATACTTTCACAGTGAGAATCACCTGCGTTTGCTGGAGCAGGAATGGCCCTTTTGGAGTTTAACTGGATTCCGTGCCCGAAATCGCCTTTCTGCCTCCGTTTGGCCCTGGGACCGGTGGACTCACTCCGCATCACCCGGGAGCTCGTTAGTGCAGAATCCCAGGTCCCAGCCTAGACCTCCTGAATCACAATCCGCATTTTAACACGGTCCCCACATCATTCGTGTGCACATTCAAGGGCAAGACTCCATTGGTCTGCTCCCCCTGGTAAGCTGGCTTGCTGTCCGTCTGTAGGTCCTCCTCCAGAGCGGGCACACCTGAGCATCTTTACTGGAAGAGAACCTAATGGCCACTCAGCTGAACCTTTTGCTGCACCTGTGAGGGGCCAGGGACTGGGAGATCGTGACCGAGGTCAGCTCATGCGCTGACCCACCTGGGACTAGACACGGTGCACTAGAGCTAGGAGACATTGCTGTAGGTGGTATTTGTTGTGCTTCCAGCCGTTGTCTCGCTCCCCAAAGGTGGCCCCAACTCGTCAAAGGGGGCCGCTACTGCCGTCGACACAGCTGTGTAAGGTCATTGTGAGAATGCGGGTGCCACCCTGACTCAGTGGTGTCTGGGACTTGGTTTCCAATCCAGGGCACAGACCTGCTTCTGCAAGCAGACATCTATCAGACACGTGGAGGAACAGGAAGCTGATGGCACCGGTGAACGGGACGCAGGCCGCCAAGAACTGCACAGACCCTGGTAAGAGAGAGATTCTCTGCCCTCGTCCTCCCCAACCCCTGCCCCTGCCCCCAGGCATCCGTCTGGGCCTGGGCATGGGGATTACACCCAGAGCTGGGGAAAGTGTTTTAGGAACATAGGTGGGAGGGTCGCTGTAAAGCACTTAAAGGTAATGTACACACGTTCACCAATGGTGCTGCTAAGCAACTTGAGTACTTTCTTGATCCAACAGCCAAAAAGCTCACACTCAAGAGTTTTAAGTTTTCATCTGTCTCCGTGCTCCTGAGGCTCTGAGTTTCCCGCTCTCTCGGTTTCCCATTTGTTGGAGCCCTCGGGCAGCATACCCCGCTGCTCTGGCAGGTGGCACTTGGGGGTGACCTGTCAGTAGGTCAGATGGGGCCAGGCCCACGACAGCGGTGGGACCCTGGGGTGCTGGGCCCCTCCGCTGGAACGGGAGCTCCTGGGGTGTCGCCACAGCTGAGGGAGATGGACTCTGCTTGCCCTGGCAGGCAGCTCTGGTGCTCCTTCTGAGACTTCTCTGGGGGGCCAGAGGCTGTGGGGACCCGGAGAGGACAACCCGTCTGTCGTCCTGCCACAGGCAGGCTCTGCTAAAACGGGGAAGATGGTTCTCGGGGGAAGAGGGTATATATACTCCCGGCAGGCATGGAGGGGAATGGAAACTGCCCGGACCTTGGGCGGGGCAGCCTGGACTTGATCCCTGGTGCCAGCACTTGGCGGTCTTTGTGCGAAGGACCCAGTGGGGCGATGCGTTCGGAAGCCCTTTGGAAACGACGAGGTTGTGTTATAGGTGGGTACAACTTGGCTTTCCTCCGCGTCGTCGGGCGAGCCATATAAACTTTCTGGGTCTCTGCGTTCTTGCCGGCTCTGGGGTGGTTGGGAGAAGCTGGTGGCAAGGCCCAGCGCGGGCCATGTGTGAGAGGAGATGGAGCGGGAGGGCGAAGGAGCAGGGGTAGGTGGCGTCGTCATGTGGCTACATTTCGCTGCTCAGGAAACATCGGGGGAAGACACGCGAGTTGCTCACCGTCGCGGAACGTGTAAGCGGGCAAGCCGGCGTCGGAGCCTAGGCCTGTGTGACTGGAGCCTCTGGCTCCGCGTGTGGAAGGGGCCGGGGCCTCCCCCCAGAGCCTGTTTTCCACACCATCCACTTCCCTTGTCTCCGGATCCTTCCGAGAAGTACGTGTGGGCTCGGAGTGTAGGCGAGTGCAGGCTTGCAGAGAAGCAACCGGGATTCCCTCTGAACTTTGCACTCTTCACCTTCAAAGGGAAGGAGTGCACCATCCCTTTGCACTCTCACCTTCCCTGGTGATGCAGCCGTAGCGGTGTCGTCCCGTCATCTAACCATCCTCAGTACACTGTCTTTCATCAGGTGGAATGGGGGGCAGTGCAGGTGCCGGACTGACTGGGGAACACCGGCCAGGCCATCCTTTCGCTCCAGCGAACTGAGACACTAAATTAGCACCATCCATTCGGGGAGCACTGAGCTAGTCTGGCGGGAGAATCGGGGTTCAGCATTTTCGACTGATTTCTAGTGCTCTCACCCTGAGCTGGCTGTGCCCTCCTCTCCTGACTTGTCACCTCGAGTCTGGGGACGCTGGCTCGGGCAGGTCCGTTTCTCAGAGTCTCGTGTGCCCTGCCATTTCCTGCGCCTTCAGAGTGCTCTCTGACCACAGATGACTCCTCCCGCTGGGCAGCAGGTGGTCCTGTCGGAGGGAGACCTGGACTTGTCCCCCCCGCGGGAGGAAGAGGGAGGGAATCGGCAGTCTCTCGAGCAGTGATTAACGTCTGTGTTCCGCTTCATGGCGACTGCTTCGGGAGTAGGCCCTGCACGTAGGAGGGACTCGGTAAATATTGGCTGGATGATGGAATGGAAGTATATAGTGCATATTAGGCACTTTCATTCTCACAGTGTTTCTGCAAAGGTAGGGAAGACGAGGCTCAGGAGTTAAGTGACTTCTAAGCCCTCGTGACTGGCAGGAGCACCCCTGGTGTTCTGGCTCCGGCGCACCCGCATCTGCATACATACACACCGCATCTGCCCCCCAACCCCAGCTGTCCCCCCCGCCCATGTGGGCTGAGGCCTGACTACCTTCCCAGCCCCTGGTCTGTGGGCTGGGAGAACCCCGGCCTCCGTCCTTTTTCCTCAGGCGTGTGGACACACCTGCTGTGTGTGCCCAGCCCTGGGGGGCAGCTGGTGGGGAGCATGAGCAAGAGGGAGAGGCAGCCCTTGGCATCGAGTGGCTCACGTGGCGGGGAGAGGGCGTGCGCTCTGGTGTCCCCTCCCCTGCTCAGAAGGGCACCGATCCCATCACAGGGGCCCCCGCCCACCTCATGACCTCATCTGAACCTAATGACCTCCCCAAGACCCCACCTCCAACTACCATCCCACTACAGGGTTAGGACTTCAGCGTGGGAATCTGGGGGAAGTGCAAACCTTCCGTCCGTGGGAGGAACCAGCGAGTTCCCACACATCTCTCGGTGGTGGCACCTGGAGTGTTTGAAGACAGACGGACCTGCGGGTGACAGACACAGATGCCCGGCCCTGGCTCTGGCCTCAGCTCGCGAAACCAGAGCCAGTGATGGGTGCATTCTGTGGCCGACGTTTGGAGCTTACAGGAAACCTGCTGACCCCGCTCCCCACCCCAGACCCTCCATGGCAGGCTCCTCCTCGTCCCTGCAGTGTCCCTGGGCCTTCCCTGGTCACCCAACCCGAAGTGGCCTCTGAGTCACTGTCGTTCTCGTTTCAGCTCGGAGCAGGGAAGAACTCTGTCCACTGTTTTACGGCTGGTTCACCTCCCCCACGTAAGACAGGAAAGGGGAAAGTCCCGTTTGCTTTTGCACACAGTATGGGCTTCAGCTCTTCCTTCTGTAAGAGGCGGGTGGCAATTGAATCCACCTCGTAGGGTTGTCAGAATTAAACAAGTTGACACCCACCCAGTGGTACCCACACCCGTGCTCAGGCCCCAACTTTCGCTTTCATGCTCTTCCCACCCCTCACGCGGGAGGCGGGGCGATGCCTGCGTCCAGTAGGAACGGGGAAAACCATCCGCGGTCGGACTTCGTGAGGACGAGCGGAGAAGTACACGTCTTGCCGGACGTTGTTTCTTGTCTTCTGGGGACCAGCGTCTTGCTCTGATTTATTTTGTCGTTTGAGGATTTCGGCTGCCGGAGATGGCAAACCTTGCAGAGCTTGCTGCTAAAAAGAATTGGTCCCTTGACAGGTGTTACTTTACACCTTGGCTTTTGGCTGGGGTGCGCCTGGCCTGCTGTGTTCTTACGCTGCCTTTGCCCCCACGTCTGAGATGGACTCGGTGGTCCGTCTCCCACCGGGTCACCTCTGTTCGTTCGCATTTCTGTCCTCTGCCCCCATGTTCACAAAAAGGCAGAGAGACCGTTGTCATGGGGGGCGGTTTGCTTTACCTCGCTCGGTTTTCCACTTTCCAGATGTGTCTTTTGGAGTGCCTGGTGGCCGTCTTAGCTGGGGCCGCAGTGGGAGAGACCACGGGCTGGGTGTGTAAACAACAGAGACGGTGCATTTTCTCACGGTTCTGGAGGCCGGAAGTCCAAGGTCAGGGCTCCAGAGTTTGGGTTCCGGTGGGAACTGTCGTCTTGGCTTGCACACCGGCACCATCTTTCTGTGTCCGAGCGGAGGGGAGAGCGAGAGCAGGGTGTCTGGTGTCCCTTCCCCTAAGACTGCTAATCCCAGTGGACCGGAGCCCCACCCTCATAACCCACGTGACCCTCTAAAGGCCCCGTCTTCAAATACCATTGCTTTGGGGTTCGGGCTTCCACGGGAGGATTTGGGGGTGGGGCATACCCATTTGGTCCATCCCAGTGTCCGTAGAAGAAGGGCTGGAAAAAGAGGGCTGGGGGAGGGGTGCTTGAGAGCAAGCTGAAGATGAAGCTGGTTGGTTCCCAGCGTTCCTGGAGTCCAGAGGAGTTGGAGGCAGGCGCTACACGGAGGATCTTCTGTGGTCACCTTGGTGCTGGCCTGACCGGGCTGTGCCAGGGCTGATGTAGAGGCTGTGTGTGCGCGCATAGTGGGGAGCGGCGACTAGTGGGGCAGGTCCTGTGCTTAGGAGTTGGTGGTGAGACTGGGGGAGGAGGAGGAGAGGAGAGCATGGAGTAGGCACCCGCCATAGTGGCACGTCTCCGTGGGCACCCCTGTGTGGGGAGCAGAGGTGCAGAAAGCGTGAGTAGGGGGAGAAGGGGGGGACCCAGAGTGGCAAAAGGTACACCGGGACCCGTGGGCGTGGAGATGAGGCGGTGCCGGTGACAAGACAGGCTCGGGAGATGAGTCACACACCCCAAATTTCAAAGTTACCTCGGAGCCAATCCTGAGCTGGAAAAGCAGGACTTGAACTTGCTGCTCACCTGGGGGCAGGGAGACCACAGTTCAGTTACTGTCCCAGAAGGCAGAGGCGGGACTCCCACCCCGGGGAGGGGTGTCCTGGGCAGGACAGCCTCCAGAGAGCCAGGTGGCTTCTTGGGGAGAGTGTCACCAACCCCCATAGTGGCCTGTGGGGTAGTGACAGAGTGGCGAATGGAGGCTGATGCATAGCAGGCCATCAGTGTGACCCTCTGCTTTTGGGGTGGGGGTGGGGAAATTGTACGTTGGGTCAAGTGGTTTGACCAGCAATCCGGCTTCCAGTACTGGCTCTGCCAAGATCCTGCCTGGTATTTGGGGAATCCCTCCCTGTCTTCCTTCCTCCCGCTCTGCTCCACCAAACGAGATGGCCCTGGATAAGCACAGAATTTCCAGCGGCCAGAAGCAGCTCCGGTCCCAGCAAGCACCAGCTCTTCCTGGAGATGCAGCCTGACCTGCGGAAGGCAGCTGTATGGGTCGGAGTCCTGGCTGCCCCTTCCTAGCTGGCTGCGTGACCTTGAGCAAGGTCGGGATCCCTTAAGCTTCAGGTTTTCTCTTTCATGAAGAGGGAGTGCAGCAGCAGTTCCCACCTGTTCCCATTGAGGCGTGCCGAGCGCCCAAGAGCTGCTCTCAACGT